CACACTCTCTCTCTCTCTCTCTCTCTCTCTCTCTCTCTCTCATACACACACACACTCACACACTTCTGATGCCAGTCAAAAACCCAGGTTGTCCCCTGACTAACTAAGTGTAGATCAGAAAGAAGTTCCAGCTACCTGCTCCTTGGGTTTGATTAATTTGCTAGAGAGGCTCACAGAACTTCGGGAAACATTTATTTACTTTTGCCATTTTATTAAAGAACATAATAAAGAATACAGATAAACAGCCAGTTGAAGAGATACCTAGGGAGAGGTCTGGGAGGGCCCCTTGCTCAGGAGCATCTGTCCCAGCAGACTTGGGATATGTCACCTTTTCCAGTATGTAGACGTGTTCACCAATATGGAAGCTCCTCAACCCCCATACTTTTATCACATAGGCATAATTGAACATTAGCTCCATTTTTAGCTCTTCTCTCTTCCCAGGAGGAAGAGGGACAGGGCTGAAAATTCCAAGCTTCTATCATGGCTTGGTCTTTCCGGTGACCAGCCCTTATCCAAGAGCCCACCTAGTCATCTCATTAGAACAAGTGACACTCCTATCACCCAGGAAATTGCACAGGTTTCAGGAGCTCTGTGTCAGGAACTGGTATTCAACACCAAATATTAAAACAAAAGATGCTCTTACTGCTATTACTACTTATAAGATTTTTAGGAGCTCTGTGCCGGGAATCAGAGGCAGAGACCAATATATATACATAAATATGTAAATATACATATATATGTATATTTTCTGTTACCTCACATATACAAATATGTTTTGTGTTGGGGCAACATTTCTTTAGGGTGAGATGTATCTGAAAAATTTTCTAATGGATTTTAAAGAGAAATGTGTGATACAAGTTTTAATATAAGATCATTATGAAAGTATAGATGAAAGTGGAATATTCCATGGCATCATGTTCTGTTCCTACATTTCATTTTTGCTGAAGTTGACATCATTTTTTAGACAACTGTCACACACCAGCAGAACTATAATTTTTTCCTTGTTTTTTTAATAGCATTTGCCTTGTTCGTTATTTTTGAGCGGGATGGGGATGGCCAATACTGACGACATAGACATTAGTATTGTAGTAGAAATAAATATCAGCAGATGGCCAGATAGGTGGGGATGATTTCAGTAAGAAAGTAAAGGTCATTCTTAACCTAGGTGCCTGCATACCTCAGTCCGACCAGCCACATTTTCCATTTTTGCTTCCCCAGGTCAGACACTCCCCTCATTTACAAAGCAGTGCCTAGCTGGTTTCTGCGGGTGGAGCACATGGTGGACCAGCTGCTGAGGAACAATGATCTCTGTTACTGGTGAGCAGTAAGATGTGCGCCTTCATAATGTCCTTTGTCATGTAGTTAGTAAGTACTGGTTTACACTTCCCCCCAAGTTATAATTTTAATAGCTGTCTTTCATTGCATATTGTAATAATAGCTATTTTTTATTCTGTATTTTTAGGAACACAATTTAATATATAACAAATAGCATCCTTCTTATGATAAGGCATATAGAGGAACTTTTTTTCAAAAACCCCATAGAAATCAGAAACTACTGTTTATTCAATTTACAAAAGGGAATGAGTCAAAAAAATCCATACTCAAGAATTCATCATCTTTAAGTAATTGTCATTTTCAGGGTAAACATTTATTTTTGGATGTACCTATAAAAGCCATTTATAATTACAGTTGACCCTTGCACAATGCAAGGGTAGGGACGCCACCTCTGTGCAGTCAAAAATCTGTGCATAAACTACAGTTGCCCCTTCATATCCATGGATTTCCAACCTCAGAGTTGACCCTTGAACAGCACAAGTTTGAAATGCACAAGTCCATTGGGAAAAAAAAATTGCTTATAAGTGGACCCATCCAGTTCAGACCCATGTTATTCAAAGGTCAACTGTACTTGTTGAGTTCCTCAAGTATGAAGATGCCTTGTGCAGTCTGGTTTCATGGATAAGCACTGTGGGGACAGAAGCCTTGCTGTTAGCTAATATCTGACTGCAGAGAGGTGTTACTTCAACCTGCAGGTACAAAAAATGATATAAGGCTGAATCTGTATTCCAGAAGAATGTTACTTCAACCTGCAGGTACAAAAAATGGTATAAGGCTGAATCTGTATTCCAGAAGAGTCTGGAGGCTAATTACTATTTCTTACTTCCCACAAGAACCCAACTCAACTTAAAAACTGCATTTAATTTTGGAAAAGTGGGGAGAATCTCAGGGCAGTAAAGGGAAATGGCTATCGCTTTCTGTATTTCCTGGCAAAATGACCCTGATTTCTCAAGAAAAAGCAGTTTTTCTGTTTATACCTAAGGAGCTCTTTAGTTTACCAGATGTGTGAAGTACTGGTTATGGAATATTAGTCTGGTAGCCTCATAGCGGCTACAGGCCTATAAACCGACATTTATATAAGACTGTAACCAGAATACCTGAGAAAACAGGACATTTGGGAGCCTAAGGTAGGGTGCTCTAACTCAGCCTTGAGCTTGAGTTGAGAAGGTTTCCTGCAAAGCTGAACTTCAAAGGATAAGGAGCCATTTACCAGTCAGAAGCAATAGAAGCTTGGGGGTTTGAGGAGGTGGCCAAGGGTAAGGAGGGCTGCAGGGTACAAGCAAAGGCAATGAGGTGAGAAGCCGCATTCTAAGGAACTTGCCTCATTGCTGGAGCTTAAAGTGCAATGCCAAGGGGGACCACAGGTGAGCCTAGAGAGGCAGCTACCAACCTGCTACCAATAGCCCAGCCTATTCAGACTCTTATTTTATAGGTGATTAGGAGCACTTCCTAGTGAGTTACAGTAAAAGTTCTATTTGTGTGGATGACCCAGAGACTAGATCTGAGTGGGTCAGGCTAACTAGCATCATGGTGACTGGTTAGAGAACTGCAGTAGTCCCCCAGTTGGAGAGCAGGATGGGGAGACATGTATGCCATGGGATTTCTTATTAAAGAGCATCTTCACTAGGATGAATTCACAGCAGATAATAGCAACTGTGGGTCATCTGGTGCCATACAATCTCCTAGGAGTGAGTCCAGTGTTTCCATAGTGTTAGGTCCACAAAGCATTATACAGATGTTTATGCAGAACTCACATACAAATTTATTTACTAATGTTTTTACCTGTTGGGGTATCTGACCTGTTTATTGCAGGATCCCAGAGTTTGTGCGGGAAAAGCGATTTGGAAATTGGCTAAAAGATGCACGTGACTGGGCAATTTCCAGAAACAGATACTGGGGCACTCCTATCCCTCTGTGGGTCAGCGAGGACTTTGAGGAAGTAAGGCTGGCGATGTGTCCTTGTGTTGATTTTTGCTGATGCCTTTTTTTGTTTGTGCTCTCTGAATATGGGATGAAAGACTATGGTTTCTTTTTTCTTTGCCTCTTTCTTATTTCATCTAGTTTTTTCTCATTATTCCTTCCTATAATCATAACAAATAAGAATATATTTTTAGGATTTTTAATTTATTTTTACTTTTACTTTAATACAATTTTTTAAAATTTTCCTCTGTGTAAAAGTGAAGAATGCAATTTGTGTTTTTCTTGGGGAAACCATACATTAAATTCTGTTGCTTAGATTTCTTCTCCTTATGAGTTATCGATGAACAGAACAGACTCCAGACCTTGAGCTAGGTCATAAGGTGTTAAACCCACATTATAGCAATGAAAAAGGAAGATTTTTTAAAAATTACACAAGTATCACAGACCTTTAATCTATAAAGTCAGGTGATTGTGTGGGTGTATGTGTGTATGTCTATATATATGTGTGTGTGTGTGTATATATATGTGTATATATATATATATGTATATATATATGTATATATATGTGTGTGTGTATATATATATACACACATATATATATACACACACACATATATATATATAAAACTATAGATGTATTCCCATGATAGGACCTTCTGTACAGCGCTGGAAACAACATGAGAGCAGTCATGAACCACAGCAGCCCACAAACTTCAGTAAATCTCCCATATGGAGGGGCCTGAAAGGCAACAGTAAAATAGCTGAATCACAATACTTTTCAGGACTGATCAGAAAGGGCAGAGAAAGAGGCCATGTCTGTTCACTAGGTATCATCAGACACTCCCTGGCCTGGTCATTCCCCACCCTGTTGTGAGTGCCCCAGCTGGGCCTATCTCTCAGCCTCCTTACCTGGACATAATGGTCACATCTTGTGATATGACTGTTTTGATTCAGCACAAGAATTTAGTTGTAGCTTTGATTTGGAAAGATTCCAGATTGAATAGCCAAATTCAAGTGCCAAGAAGAAGCTATGATGCCTTAGAGTAATAGTCTAGGCATTTCACTTATTTTTGGCAGAGATTTGGATGAAGTAAATCATCAAAAAATCTTATACAGATAATGGCTATGAATGTTTAATATCCTCTTGGTATAGGACCTCCCTCTGATATAGGTAGCAAAGAAGTGACGTCTGCTCACCTCTTTAGACAGTGACCTGCAGTCTTTCGTGAGGGTAAGCCAGACTGGTGATAACTGTCCTGAAGAGCAAAGGTTTTTAACATGAATGTTACAGAAATTAATTCTGTGAGCTTTGCCTCTGAGGCACTCCTGCTTTTTAACTTTGTTTTGACAGGTAGTATGCATTGGTTCAGTGGCAGAACTTGAAGAACTGTCAGGAGCAAAGATCTCAGATCTCCATAGAGAGAGGTCAGTTTCTGAATGTTTGATTCACGTCAGTTCTATCATTCAGAGAGCCCTGGGCTAGGTCGTAGCCTATTAAGACATGGTCTCTGTAGCAGATCACAGAGCTACTTGTAGAAATCAAACACTTGCTTGCTGAATTACATTGTTGTTGATGACTCATGTCATATTGAAGAAGTTACCTCTGTCCTTGAATTAGATGTCAGGGGACTTTGGTATATAACCTTCCAGGTTGAACCCTTCTGGTGCTCTCTGAAAGCTTGTGATAACTGTCAATATTTCTGTTTGTAGATGCATATGAAAGAGCTTGTCAG